CACAGAGTCTTGACTTTGAAAGTGCAGACAGGTTCCCATTTCACCTTGTTCATATTATTTGGTCTTGTTCTAAATTTGGAGCACAATTTTCAAAAGTCTGATAAGTTGATGATCTCGGCAACAGCTGACACTTAACCGAGGCCAAATGAACAAACTCTGTCCCTCTTCTTGGTTCAGTTTGATTTTCTGGAGAAACCAGCAACGCTGTTGTCATCCTGTTTTAACAAAGCCATACAGCACTTTAAATGGCAGAAAAAAATCATGAATGTACTTCATTTTTTTAACTTTTAAACTTCAAAGATGATCTTTATCACATCTGTTAACACAATATATTACAATGCCTTCATTGATCTTTAAAGAGACAGTCCCCACACTGCAGCTTTAGTTGAGTTCGTCTTTCCTGTATCTTTCCCTGTTTTTGTTGTGTGTTTCTTTGTTCTATGTAAAAAATCGGATACAGTCTTTCCCTTCAGAGATTGTTTTCAGAACCTCGGAGCTGTATGATACAAAAATCTGACAGTATGACTAAAACAGCCAGGATATAAAGAAACCGTGTTTTTAGCTTCAGACACTTAAAACCATTAATACATCAACAAAAAAGAAGAAATTCCAACTGGCCAATTTTCTTGTAATACAAAAAGCTTGCTGTACATTTCTAATTGTACGTTTTGCTAGTTACCTAATGAGCTCTTAATTCATTATAGTGGGATGTTTTTCCTCTCTAAAGCAGCCTGGAGGTCAGGTAAACATATGGTGGTGTGTTTAGCTCTGAAAGCTTTAACAGGGTAAAATAAATGACGTAGTAACGAGTGATTATCCTCTCATCTGGAATACAATTGTTGAGTAACATCTCTAATATTCCAACTGCCTCCATATTAATCAGATTACAGTCCCAATCCCCTAATCCCTGTTTACCGATGGCTCCGTCTTTGGGGCCGTAATCTGATGTTCTTTTATTCTTCTGGGATTGAAACATGTCGTTGCAGAGCGCAGGCATTTGTGATGTTGTTTGGACTGAGTCGACTGTTGTTGTTTTTTTTTTTTCACTACAACAATTCACTCTGGTTTTGAGTAAACAAACACAGGTGCACTGGAGTAAAGTGCTTTCATTGTGCAAATATCAAAACAGAATAAATTATATTTGGAATGCTGACTGAAGACGATTCATCCAGTCTTTGGTTGTTTTGTTACGCCGTCGCTCAAAGAAACCTTGATTTTCTATCTGATCTTTTTCTTTCTCAAGAAAACTGCTTGAAAATGGTCTTAAATTGGTCAAAATAAATATATTATCAAAAAATATATTTTATATTTTTAAGTATGCAATTAACAGTTTATGATATTTCTAATTATGCAGTACCACCAAATTAACTGTTGGTCTGTTATGGCCTATTCCTAGACAGCTTTGAACTTTACATTCCTGTGACCTTCACATTGAAATAATGTACTACTGTTTGATTAGAGAGCTCATACTGACACTGCAGCCTCTCTGGATCATGTGAACAGACTTGAAAAAAAAAACACAGGGACTCTATCAACAGTACTAAAAACTTCAGTCACACTGAAATAAAAGGGGCAAAAACATGAATTTGGAAATGTAACACTACAGGCTTGCTGGGATTTCTACATGTGCTGTAGGTCTGTGTGTGTGTATGGGCATGTGTGTGTGTGGGTGTGTGTGTGTGTGTGTGTGTGTGTGTTTTGGGGGATCACTTGTCCTTATCAATATGCAGATCCCGAGCCCTCTCAGGGTTCATTAAAGCTAAAGCGAGGTGGATTTCATCTCCACTCTCTGATATTCATTAACTCTGGCTTCCAGATTGAAATAAAGACATGAGATGACACAATAACAGCGTGAATCACTCACTGCTCACTTCATAGACCCACACACTCTCTCTTTGTTTCCCTCTTACACACACACACAGGCTCAGATATCCTGAGAGAAATGAAAGGTTTGACCAAGAGAGAGTTATGGTTGAAGCTATAAAGAGGTAACTGTCTCATAGAGCCTAAATTGTGTGTTGTGGTTACAGACAGCTACTTGTTTACGTGTTTATCAAACAACTATTCATTACCTGATTGCTGGACAGATTTCTGATTAGACTCTAATCTGAAGATTAAGATGCACAGCATACAAGGTTAACTACATAGTAAACAAAGGCATAAAAGCAATGAAAACACGGACTGCTTCCAGTTCATCCACTGAAATTCAATCAATGGCATGCTTTCCAGGGATATAAGATTATAAAGTGGATTTTGACATACATGTGGAGAGAAAAAACAGGCAACCTGCTTCCCTCTTGAAAAATCTGTCATGTTAGTAGAGCATGAAACTGCGGCCGTTAGTCTAACACTTGCTTGGCTGATCATCCTGATGTGCAGAGTGCTACTCCAGGCTTCAGTGTATCTGTCTGAGCAGAGGTCTTTAACAGCCATGAATGCCAAGCATGGGGGAGGCAGGCCAGGCCAAGCGTAACCAAGGCGGCCCAATGTCCTTGGCTCCGCGGCGGCCTTCACCTCACACTCCCTGCACAGTGAATTTTATGGCTAATTTCCGGCAATTTATCCTGGCACTTTCAGAAGAGACATTCCTGCGGGAATAATGTGCATAATTTGCATAAATCATCCTGATAGAATGCATATCAGCATGTAATCCACCCCCCCACCCCCTCCACCCCCCACCCTGTCTCATGCTGCAGCGTTTACTTTGTAATCAAAACTGACTCTTTTCCACCAGCGGATGCACAACAGCCATGAGAAAGGGGTCCGAGTTTAGGCGAGTAATTACAGAGAAATGAAACCAACACACAGAGGCTCTTGGACAAAAACGACATAAATCAATATAATCATAATTTTTGGAAAAACAAACTCAGAATTGTTTGGAATTTCCTTATTCAGCATTAGAAATATTTGAAAGTGAAGAAAAAAAAAGTTTGTTTCTCTATATTTACTCTTTTAAAAAAAAAAAAGTGATGCTACTGTAAAAAGACGACTATTCTCTGCTTCTGAAGTGCAGCTTTTTTTGAATGAAGCACAAAAACTCTCCAAAAAATGACTTACACTTTAACTAGGTGCCATTTAATCTGAGCCTTTTATCTCCCCACACGTTTCTTTGTCCTGTAAACTGCAGCAATGAGCCAACAGCCACAGTTTGGTCCACAGGCCTTATTTCAAAAGCCTCCTCTGTGTAAGCGACCGGCTGTCTGAGGAGAAGAGACGGGGGTCAGCATGCTGCATCCCTCCCCCCCCCTCCCTTGCTGTGATCTAATTTGACGTACAGTGAGAACATGCATATTCTCTTGGACTGCCTTTGTTACTATAATCAGCCGTGGTCAGATCGACTGTTGGCCGAGGGAGTGTGAGATGAAGGAGGGAAACAGTGGACTGTAGTAAGCTGAGGTTTTGGATTTCTGTGCGTTCAGGGACATCCAGCCTGATGGAAATACTCTACAACACGCAGGCTGCAGAAGAGCTAGTGGCTTAAGTAATCCGAGCGGACACACAGGCAAAACATGGCTGCACAGTGAAGAAGCCGAGCATTGTTACATGCATTAGATTTTGTGACTGACGGGAAAGAAGTTGAAGTGTGTGTTTTTGTGTGCATTTAAGAGAAGCTCATCAGAGTGAGCAGTTTTGTGTTGCTACACTACCCGGCTCTTCCACTGGCCCTGATCCCAGAGTCTCAGATCAGATGGTATCACTGGTGACAACAGGACAGTCGTCCGCCGGGTGGACGTTAATCACAATAATACAGGGCAGGCTAATCACGACTCACTGATCAAGCGCTAAATGACATGCCTGCCGTACCCACTGTAACCAGCCCGCTGCAGAGGGACTTGCACACCAAGAATGGCCCTATTTCAGGGGGGAGGATGGAGGAGGAGGCGGACAGTGGTTATGAGGCTGGTGCACAGCCATCCAGACAATAATTACTCGATGACTGTGGTCACATTAGGAATCAGTCAAAGCAGATTAATTTCGACTGATAGCATTGGTCCCTCCTAAATGCAGATTTTCTTAATAAGAGTGAAATTGTGTTGCTGAGAGGGTTGGGGACTGTGAAGTCTGCTGTATGGGGGTCCTCCAATTATGTGGGGAGACAATGTCTTCTTATTTGCATGAATCAAACTGAACTTCTGAATGTCAGCGCAGAATTAGCACGCAAATGTGTTTTTCAAGTGGCCTGGTCTGATGTGTGTTTGCATGTGTAGACCGTATGTGCAGACACAAATAAGCTTGTGTGTCTGTGTGTGTGTGTGTGTACATGCCTGTTTGTGTGTGTGTGTGGTACAGTAGGCCTTTCACTAAATACCCAGAGACCCTGAGAATTACCCAGAGCAGAGAGGACAGCATCTGTTTGTGTGCTTGTGCCGAGCAAACAAGGCAATTTAGAGAACACCAAGGGAGCAGCTAATAAACACAACCTTATTCCCCCTTCCTCCTACACCTGGCTCTGAATAATACAGCGCTGCAGTGAGAACGTCTGCCTGTTTTTGGTTTGATTGCACGCTTGTGTGTGTGTGTTTATTAATACGCCAAGATCTGCTTGACCTAACCAGGAGGGTCACCTGTAAGTTAGCATGTATATGAATAGGTGTGTATGTGTGTCATTTAGTGCATGAGCAAATGTGTGTCATAAGCATGTGACCATTCATCATCCTACAGTGAGGGGCATACCAGTGCTGCTGGGAAATGGCAGGTCTGCGTCCCATTATACCCTGGTGTCTTTGTCAGTTCTGCCAAAGCTGCGCCAAAATGTCTGCCCTGGATACCTGGCATAGAAACAGCACTGCACTGTTCACAAAAGGTGTATGAATACGAGGCTGGCAGGGACTATTTTCTCCCACATTGATGCTGGTCACAATGGCCTAATAACTGCATCCTTTTTTTTTTTTTCCAGGAAGAATACAACTGAGTTGACATCCAACCAGATTTAACAAATCGAGGGAGCAATATGGTTTAATATTCTATGAATTTTATTTTTTTATGCCATAATCCTGCAAACTTGTCATATTGTCTGTCTTTTTCTGCTCAACTGTTGCCGTAAAAATGGTTTAATGATACCTGCAGCTTCGCTCACTGCCGCCACCAAGGATTCTGATATGTAGCCAAAGTGACACCCAGTGAAACCATGCATCAGACCAGACACAAAATGGCCGTCCAGTGCCAAACCCCACATTGGCTTTCACTTCATATCACACCACAGGGCCGGACAGAGGACTGAAGGCTTTACATGGCATTAAGAGGAAAACCTCAGCCTCTGTCGACTTCTGTCACAAACAGGTATATAAAGCCTTTCATGTTAGTTCAAAGATCTACTTTCTTTTACCTGAACACGTGGTGTAAAAAACACAATTATTTCTGTATCTCATTTGCATAATCTGTGTTGTCTAGATATGTATTTGATCACAGCTCACAGACTGCTCTATGATCCTGTTTGCCCTTCAACTATGAGCTCTTCAAAGTCTCCTCACCTCCTTGGTCATGTACCTGGCAGCCTCAGAAATTGGGCCTTGTTCCATCAGCCTTTGAGCCTTGGAGCCAAGAACATCCTGGAATAAAAGAGTAGGCGAAAATAAGTGCAAAAAGGGGAGATTATTCTGAGTTATTACATTGATTAGATTTCCAGAATGCTAATTAAAAGATGTTAGGACATGGGCCCAGCCAAGGATCAGTGGGTGCTAATAAGGACCATTAGGACTCTGTAATCTGTGCTGTAATGAGAGCGGTTAAAATGTTAAGTTTGCAGGGAGGAAAGTGGGGAGGTGGATGGACGGATGGCGAGCAATCCAGAAAAACCAATCCCACACTATCATTATAAGCGGTAATGGTGATGTTTCACAGCCTCAGCAAAAAGATAGAAATAAAAAGAAGATGAGTGAAATTCAATTACACCGAAGAGTTTCAGAACAATAAAAACATTTTATTATTAGACAATTAACAGAACAGTTTAATGGCTGAAGGTCACATACCCCCTTGTCTTGTATTATGATGAGGTTTTTCAAAGTTACAGGGCAGTATCTTTTAACAGGGAACCATCTATCCCACGCCGACGATTCTCTTTCTTCAGGTTTTATGATTTCCATACTTTCCATGATCTGCATAAAAAAGAGGGTTTGAAATTGTACTAAATTGTCTCAGGTGCAGAGTACAATGTCACAGTTTCTATGGAAATGTTCTGCCTTTAGATATCAATCATTTGAGTTCCAGTAAAGTGACGGTGAAGACATTGTTTTGCTATGGGGGCCTCAAAGGCGGCAACTTGTGCTTATTTTCATTGTCCAAACATCAAGTTATTTATTAAATGTTAGGACAAAGGATAGAAACAGGTTTCTACAGCTTTAGATTAAATACTGGCCAACCGTCCAAAACCATTTAAATAATTTGCTCATATGACTAAAAAAACAAAAACATCAGAGTTTCACATTTGAGAAACAGTATGGCCTGTTGATGAGGGTTAGTCTATTCTTATTAAAGGTTTCTGATTTATTGTCAATCAGTTGTTAGACAGCAGACTAAATACAGGCTGAGGACTGACAACAAACACAATAATAATCATTCTGCAGCTAACGGAAAAACGGTAGACTCGTACAAGACAGACGGTTGAGAAGTCAACTGAAATTAGAAAGGTCATTACTTATTCAGTGGATAGTCGTTATTAGTGAATGAGTCTTAATGACAGGTGCATCCCACTCATTTACAAATTAGAGCGTTTCCCTTTAATAGGCCCGCACATTTATCACAAATAATGAGTTGTGTTGAAAACAGGCTGGTAAATACTCTCCCTAATGGCTCTCACTGTTCATGGCTTCTGATGTGTGTGCAGAGTGAGTTCAAAACAACAGAAACTGAATATATGTTAGGTCACACTAATGTTGGACAAGTTCAATGACTTGAGTTCCTGTTGGCCATCTTGCGGCATGCTAACAGTCTGTAGCCACACTGCTAGGTGAGTCAGTATTACACATTACAGTTTGCTTAGTTTAATGATTTATGTTCATTAACAGCAATGCTGATGTAAGTGGGCATAGTGATCGAAGCTGAAGAATAAAGTTAAAGTATTCATATCTTAGCCTAAATCAGAAGATATCTGTTTCTGCATTCCTTGAGCCTTGCATGATAGGGTTACTGTAACTTTGCCAGCTAAGGAATTAGCCTTAATCAAAGCATGTATAACTTGTATTACTTATAGTTCTCTCTCCTGCTCAGCCCTCTCAGATGAATATGATCACCTTCCTTTGTTCATTTGACCCCAAAAAAACAACAACACATTATTATTTCACATTTAAGAAACTGTGAATGGTGAATTAATTATTGTAAAAGCTGTTTGTAAATAAAAGTTGATTCATTCTCAATCAACTGTAAGACAGCAGACTACGTACTGAAAGATGACTAAACAAAACATTATCCTTCTGCAGCTAACAGTACATTCACCTATGTACCGTGCACATGCACTTTTTATGTTTTCTGCATTGTCTGTGCTTTATTAAGCACATGTGACTCTTCCTGCAACCAAAATGATCTGCGGGTACAAATAAAAGCTTGAGGCTTCAGAACATCAGTTCAATAAACTTGGGTTATTTAACGGTGGTTACATTTGTTTTCAGCATTCAGCAATTACAAAACGTTATGACAATTCAACAGTTTTCAGATACTTCAGTCTGGACTAAAGTGATGGACTGTATGAATGGAGAGTCTTCTTCAATCAGCACGTCAACTTCCTTTACAGGTGATGACACATGGCACCACTAGGTACCAGATACCTGAGAGTGGTGTGTTTAACCGAGCTTGGGGCCTAACATCCAACCCGCCTTATGGTGCAGAGAAAATAGAGGCTGGAATTACAGCAGGGGTATGACAATGCTGATAGGCTATAAAACCATGTCATTTAATGTCCCCTCTCACTCCCCCTCAGCTTTGCACTCTGGTCTGCTCGCCATTAAGCCAATTCATCACCTCCTCATAGAAGGCCATGAGACAGCGCCAGTCTATCAGTCACTCTCTTAAAGATGTGGTTACTAATCTGATCATCAAGGACTTCTGCCATGTTAAACATGGAAGTGAGCGCTCAGACTGGATCCAAAGAATGACTTTAGAGAGCTGCTCAAAACAAAGCAGCGCTCTCTCGAGAAGAGGAGAGTTTGAAAAGCTACGGTAATAACAGCACAAATTAAAATATGAAAACACTGATGTAGCAATAATGTTAGATTGTGTCTGCCACTTGAAGCCAGTTGTTTGATATGTCACTTTTCTAATGACCTCCTGAGAGAGGACTCCGATTTGCATTTCTGGTCCCTGCTCCTGTAATGGAAAAAGGTACAGAGGAGCATATTTCACCGGGCCTGTCAAACCCACTCACGCCCCTCTGCAAAGCACTCAGGAACTTCATTCCATCGCTGCCCATTCTCACGGCCGCGCTATCAAATTGACTATGACAAAATTAGCAAACCTAGACTGTTTGGACACATTGCCAATAGAGCAGGTTACTTTTTTTTTTCAAAAAAGTAATCAAACCCAGGAACATCAAACACAAAGTCTCCTTGAAAGTTGTTCAGTCTCTTCAGTGCAATATTCACAGCGGCCGTAGATTTATGTAATCGTGAGCTTGTTAGGAAGATTTCTCAGGCCTATTGACAGTGACGTGCACTCGGGGTTGGCAGAGGTGACATCTGCGAAGCACAATTCTGCTGCACCACCACGCAAAAGCAATTAAAGATCTATGTTCCCAGACAGGTCCAGACTTCCTTCTATGGTGGAGGGAAACATGCGGTCTAATGTCTTTATTAACATGACATGCATGTCCCTTACGCCGTCTTCGAATGACAATCACAGGGTCATCATGAAAAGGGGGGCAGCAATCAGTTAAATCACGCTCTGAGGACGAGACTGTGTTGACAAGTCGGGACATCACAACGCATTTTCCACAGCGTACAAAGGAGATGCCGAAAACACTAAACTGGAGTTTTTGCAACAAATACAAAGAAACAAAATGTTACCACTACTGTAAGTTAGGAGGAGAGCATGATGGGTAATTAAATGGTTCAGTTTCAGTTGGACAAGCGCTGCTCAAAACACACCACTTACTCATCAGCATTAAATTAATCTTGACTGGATAAAGTAATTAGTTCAGACTATTAATTACTATAATCACCCATTATCATGTTGGCTTTCATTTGAACAAGCTTCATGGATGTTACAAGCCTGTAGGAGAGCCCTTCAAAAGGGGATATTCTCCGAGTGCTAATTACTCTGTGTTGTGAGGATAAGCCTTTCTTGTTTCTATATGTCTTAACAAATCCCATTATAAAAGGCCAAACGCAAACAATGAGCAAGAACGTCTTCAAGCTACGCTTCCTGTGGCACTCGGCTTTGATAAAATGTGTTTCAGCTGAAGATGTCAATCTGAAATGTATTTTCATTTTCAAAGAGACACAAAGCTGGACATTGAAATTCAGTAAACATTACTTAAACATTAGTAAGGGGCTATTTTCAGCGGTGGATGAATACACTTTGATTTTAGGTGACAGGATGGTGTGTGTGAGATCTACTTAACATCAACTGTAATTAAAAAAAAAAAGAAGGTGTTTAAACAGAGGAAAAAAAGGAAAGGAAACTTTTTATTAGTTGAAATTAGTCTTTTGTTTTGTACTTAAATGAGCTTCAATAAAAATAAACTTATCACAAATACATTATGTACCTTCTAAATAGTTCTTTACAACAGAAATGAGACAGTGGGACTCTACTATGTAGGAAGTAAATGGCAATCATTTAATGATACATCATGACTTCTGATTGACTAAAAGTTAAACTTCAAGATTAATGTACTCATTCACTGCATTTATTTTTAATATCCATACTTTGTGCCAGTGATTCGATAATTGTTTCAAACTATTCAGGATGATGAAATATTAATGTATCAATATTTTGTCCCACCTCATGTTAAATGCAATATAATGTCCACTGCATTGAGATTTAAGATAAGATGAAGCCCGTTATTCCAGCCGTCTGTGAGCTGTGATGAAATAAGGACGGGGTCTGAGATGGAGGTGGAGTGCGGTAAACAAGGCGGCCTGGCTCCCCAGCTGTGAAGGTGACACAGGGACGCTACACGCAGAACAAGCCCTTTTGATTAATCACAGGATATTTACTAGCTCAGATCTAATCAAGGCCTGCAGGATCACAGGCTACATCATACACGGCCCAGGAATTTACAGAGCAGAGTTAACCTGTCACCTGCCACTGTCCTCCTCCTTACATCTATAAACAGTGTGTATAGTTGGTCCAGCGGTTACACACCACAGGCAGGCGCACTGATACAGCCGCAGAAGTGATTGTTTTATTTCTGCAGAAACAATATAACCCGCAGTCAGATACTCAACACATGTCGTTAGATATAAAACCTTATGGCAGAGGGGAGAAAGAGCCATTTATCTCAAGGTGGTCGTGGTAATGGGATACAAGAACGTGAGCAGTTTTCTCACTAAGTAAACTACAGCGCTGTGTGTGCAGAAGCCTGTCCTGCCAGCCTGTAGCAGCGGGATAGTTATATCTTAAAGAGAACACACAAACCTAGGACTACGAGAGGATTATGGGCAAAAAGGGTTTAAGATACTGTCAACCTCTGATGGACTATAATATGACTTTAATAATAATTTCAGCACTCAGAAAAATGTTCCTTTTCAGAGAGAACAGCTGGTAACAGTTACCCTCCAGGACAATTTTATTCTTTCCAGATGACAAAATTACACTTTCACATCTCTGTGTGGAGTTTAAAGGTTCATCAAATGACCAGATCAAAAGTTGAGCTCTGTACATGGCTGTCTAGGGGATCAGTTGCAGATCAGCTACAGAAAAATATGGAGGTTTTAATACATTGTTCAACTTAGCAATTTCCTAGCACATACAACATGTAGATTATTCTATTAGCACTTAAACACTGACATTCTGAGAAACCTGATTTGGTTGACATCATAAACAGTACTTACAAGATGCTCCATAAATACTAATATAGTTGTTGTTGGGTTAGGGTTAGGGATGGATGTGTAAATAACTATCGATACAATTTTAACAACTCACCATGAAAATTGTAATCATTGTCAGTGTTGTGTGAGGTTTATTTCAACTGTAAAGAATGACTTAGGAAGTCAGTTTTTGTAAGAGTTAAACTTTAAACTCTTGAACATGTTAAGTTTTGTTCGTTTAAAGATCCCATCAAAACACAGAAGAGTGATTTTAATTCTGCATATTTATGTATTTCCTTTTGAAGCAGGACATGTAGTTGTTGATGTGTTTGGTTTTTACATGGTGGTGTGGGGTGTGTGTGTGTGTGTGTGTGTGTGTGTGTGTGTGTGTGTGTGTGTGTGTGTGTGTGTGTGTGTGTGTGTGTGTGTGTGTGTGTGTGTGGGGTTATTTTGATGATTATTTTTGGGCCTTTTTACATTAATTGACGGGATAAAGAAAGAAAGCCAATAAATGTGGTGAGAAGAGTATAGAGACCATAGACTGTAAATATGGAGACATGCTTAAAAGGACGGGGTATTGACTCTGCTGTAAGCTCTGGGTTAGGGTTAGGGTAGCAACAGGAGCGCGCTCTACTCACTGGCCTGAACCAAAACCCCCATTTGATGCAAATTAGATTTTAACCCTGAGTGCAGGATGAATCATCAACATTTGTATTACATTTTTTTTCAATGAAATGACAAACTGTTAAATATCATTTAAAAATAACCATATAAAAAAAAACTATTGTCACTACTGGTCCAGGTACATGCACATATGTGACAATCAACATACAGTTAACAACACAATTAATATTTTGAGATAATAAAAAAAAAACGTATTTGATTTCATGAGATGTAAGACAATGGTACATCTGTAAAGATAATTAAAACTACTGAGCTACAAGTACTCTCATCCAGCAATCAATTCTGGATCGAAGAAAAATGCTCAACACAACACAACTGCAGAGGCTAAAAAATGCATCAATAAGTTCCACAATGATTTGTAGGAACAAGAAGCAAAATTCCTTTTAACCTACATGTGCTTCTTCAATAGGCTGCCTGGAATAACTTCTGCTGCCAATGTATTTACAGTCGACTTTCACAGAAAATGTGGCGTGTTCATTTTATAACAAGCATGCATCTGCAACTGCACGAAATGGATACTGACGTAACCTTTAGTGTGACCTGCGAGTTGTCTTTTGTTGTTAGCACATGTACATGAAGAGACAGGTGCAGCGGTCTTAGTGCTGCCTCTGTGTTTATGAACAGTCGGGTAAAGTGTGGCCTGCGCTCTTGTGTTGCCTGGAAAATGTCACTCCACAGGGGGTGTTGTCTCATTTCAAAGAGGTTTAAAGAGAACCCTGACAGCACTGACACATAACAAGACACTCTGAGTGTTAAAAGGACAAAATATGAGGTCCAATGAGACGATGAGAATTTGAGAATGTGTTGTGCGGATACTTTATGCTTCCCTGAATGTTTTAAATTGCCTTTGTCCCCCATCCATACAAATGTGAAGAAGCTCTCAGCGTTGATTTGAGATAAAAACCCTTTTGTTTGTGTTGAATAACAAGTGATCTGTGGTGTTTAAGCAATAGATCACTTAGCGCTATTGAGCCAGATCTCTGCCGCATGAGCCCCGGACAAATAGTTAGTCTATTAGATGAGAGCGTTTTTGTCATTCTCCCCCGTCTCAGAGACATTTCCGCGGAGTGACGAGCCACATTAGACGCCAGGAGGAAGAGTAATTTCTGTGTCACATCCCTTTAGCCCGACCTCGCTGACAATCACCAAGAAGAGGGCGTTCTCACGAAAAATTAATCACATTTGCCTTTTTAATGGCATCCCTCGACCCTCTGCCAAGAATTCACAATCGTCTCCCTGCCTTGTGTCTCTGCGGCAGCTTGGTATCTCGGGCGGTGACAAAGTGATTTCAAGGAGTGTATCAATACTTACATCACCCCTCTGGCCCTCACTTTTCACTGTTGACACTGCAGCACTCGGAGCCAGGCCGAACTGGCAGAAGGCCATCCACTTCAGAGATAAACGGGGAGAGATATCTAACGCTGGGTTGGAGGCACAAATACATCATGTTTTAAGATCATAAATTGTTGAAAGGAGTGCGCTCAGTGAGAAATCTTAAATGTGTTCTTTAGCTAGCATCTCAATATATGAGAAAACCTTTGCTGGAGGTTACTGCATGCTTAAGGTCCATACTTAGCATGATCAAAATGATGTTATAAACACATCAAATAATTATAGACCTTTTGACACTTTTACTAGGGCATCATTTTTAGTGTTTTATATAATATTACAATATCTTCTGCAATATTTTGAATAATTTTCTCCATACGTGTGAAGCAGTAATTCTCTGACATTCTTTTCTTAATATACTGTATGACTTTCTCATTTGGTTCTTTAATCCATTAATGTGTGATTTTTCATATAATAATGTGTTTGTGTCTTAAACAAGCATTGAACTGGAAGGAACTGCAGGGCTTGTGATACTGTATGTGATATTGGGTCCATCAGAACAATATTATCAAGTCACAGCAATTCTGTGATAATTGATATAACGCAGAATAATCATATAATAATACATCACAATATCTAATTAACTAAAGAATACAAAATGCCCCTGACAAGTTAAAGTATAATATTGATATTTCGCACCAACAATTTGATACTTGTATCATGCCAGTCAGGATGAGGATGTACTGCTGTATCAGTATTTTGTCCCACCCCTGCTGCATACTTCTTGTTCTAACACAGAAAAAAGACCAGAGGGAACTGATTGATCTGAACCATCTCACAGTGCACTGTACTTTGTATAATTATGTCACCAATCAAATTTGAATTTGTTTCTTGTTGATTCTACAAGCAGTTATCAAATAGAGTTGAACGTTTAAACTGGATGACTGTAGAGTTAACAGTATCACACAGATGCACTACACTCTCTCACTTGTACTGTTTCTAAGAACTAGGGGTACAAATGACGTGATTTATCTGCTCAGAAGTCGTTCAACTGTCTCGTTCTCTTAGAAAAGACAGGAATGGTTTCTGCTGCCATCAAATATTCAGACTGACTTGTAGTTCTTGTGAGTGAGGAGCCCTGTAAAATGACTGGGAAACAAAACACTTGTGGTAAAACAATGTTCTGAGGACATTCTGTCAGATTCCTCTCTTTTTTACAGATTTCATCACTGAGCTGCTGTGGCGTAAATGCTTTAAAACACTTTGACATAACGTGCTGCGTCCAGAGACCCTCTGCTCGTGAATAATGAATCTCCAGTATGTTCCCAACAGCTGTCTTCTTGCAAGAAGTTTTTTTTTTTAAGGCTTTTTGTCACATCTCTCAGGTCTTTACTAAGAAAGCGGCATAATTTGAGAGAGCGCACCTTTTTTTCTCATCACAACAACAAAACCTGACCAATAAGTGGCGCTTTAACCAACAACAAACCCCTGTGATTGGCCAGGAAGCAGAGAAGTCACCTGCATTGCCCATTCTTTGCTGCCCCCACTCTTCATATTTAATTCAGAGGTTGTGTATTTCTTTATGATTGCAACATCTGTTTGCTCCCAGTGCCAGCTCCTTCTGTCAGCCACCCTCTGTTCAATAATTCCTGTCCTGACCCCTAAGAGCCCCTGACATCACAGCAACGGCTGCTGCTCAAACTTCACCGGGACCAGACACAAAGGGACAGGTGCCTGCTACCAAATCATCTGGTTTATAAACATGCATCACCTACATCACTCGCTCTGTCGTTTCTGGATATGTCAGATAAATTATCTCCTTCTTTATAAAAAAGTGAAACGATATTGATAGTAGCGAAACATAACGCAAACATTAAAAAGACACTGTGAGCATAACCTAAGCGCTTATTTCTCCTATTTAGATTTAGAGTTTTAGATTTCACATTGTATAAATTGGCAGCAACATGGCAGTTTAAATACCTGCATCATGTTTGTGTGTCATGTACATGGGGGTGCACAAACCAATGAACAGATGTGTGAGCTTTAAATAAAAACAACACAGGGGCAGAGTCACCTGAGCTCAAACTGTACAGTGCTGCTAAAAAAATAGAGTTTATGTTGAGGACAAGCAGCTACCTCCAATGTTGGAAAATAAAGCCAATAGCCAAGTGCAAAAAATTGCAGTTCCTCAAGTGTCCACTTGAGGCTGGCACCAGAAGCCAAGGAATCTCCATTAAAGCCCATATAAAAATGTACATTTTAATTAACATGGTAACAACCTGGTGAAAAAAACTGTTGTAGTCTCTATAGGTCATTTCTTTATCGGTCAAAACTTTATGTTGGGGGGACTTTCTGTGACTTATCTGTTTGAAGGCTAAGAGTTATGAGTTACTAGGCTTGATGAAGGGTAATTTGACAGGCTGACTGACAGGCAGGCATGTTGAAACTGTTAACCAGGAGGCTAGGCTTCACTTTAACATAATCCTGTTGCTGACTTGATGGCGTTGTTTTTACTTGTTTGGAATAGGCCGACGAGCTATTCGAGCTAGATGGGCGTGTTTGAACAGACCAGATATTCATTCACCAGCCTCAGCTCCATGTCCTTGGAGTCAGCAATTCCAATATGGCAACTGCTAGAGTTGGGCTTCAAAAAGCCTGCTCAGAAACAAATGGGTGATGTCATTGAGACTACGTCCATGTTTTACAGCTTAAGCAGAAATTTGATGCAACTGATAAGATTCACCTTTGGAACTTTTTATGATTTTTGGATTTGAAACATTTAATCATTTCAAGTCTAAAAGATATTTTCACATGCCTACAAATCCTCAAAGTTGAACATGTATCAATTTGTCTTTGAATACATTTGAACCTTGCTTTGACTCCTCAACTCAAGCCAATGTATTCCTATTCACACACTTATTTTTGAAATGACTCAAAAATATTATCCTTGAGATGTAATTTCCCAAAACTGAAAGCTCATTTTACTTACACTGACAACATGTTCTATTCGGTGTGCTGGTGAGTATTTACGACAGAAAGAAAGGGCAATTGGGATTGAAACAAAAAAAATACATTGTCCATCTATATTTTCCGGCAGTAACATGTCACCCAGTGCAACAGTCGGGTGAGCTTTTATAGATTTTGCGTAACAATTGAGCTCCATTTCACCAAGGATTTTCAGGTTTTGTTAGGTGTACAACAATATGTGTAGCATTGATTCATTGTTTTTTTCATCCTGGTTTGATATACTCTGATATAACCACACCATAAGTAGAGGGATAGCATTGACTGTGACAGGTTAACCTACATCAGATTTAAAGCTTGTCAACACTTGTGACTGATCAAAGCATTTTGTCTGATTCTCAGTGTGATCCTGGTTGTCAGACATTGAAGGTGGTGGGGTCCATAAACAGATGCTACCCACTGACCTTAGGAAACATGGCGGAGGGGCCAGATGTTTGGATGACCTCACAACCTTGGGACCAGCTGATGTGGCAGTGATGGAGATGAGTACTGGCAGAGGAAACTGATCTAGTGGCATCAGAGGTTCCCGTTTTTCCCACTTTTTTTTATGTTGGTCTTAACCCCCAGAATGGGCAATCCTGGAAGGCAGGGAAAGATGGAGGACAGAGAAGAGAAATGTGTAAACACAGTAGAGAAAGAGAGACAGAGGGAGGGAGGGAGGACTGGTCAGTGGTGCTGACGGTTGTCAGAGATGTTGAGTTCAGCACAAACCTTTGCCAGAAGCCATCATGTCAAGGCTAAGTTAGCTGAATGAACAAGAACAACTCCGGGCCCTGCCACTTTAAATCTCGCTCAAAATTCAACAGCTGTTTCTTGAACGAATGCAGATGCAAAATAATGATAATAACGCCTGCTTACAGCTCCTGCTTTGAAGTAAACAACGCTTCTTGACCACACCCTGTGCACATGGTGTCTCATTAGCTCCGCTGTAGCTTATTTGGTAATTTAATTTTAGCGGCAGCGAGGGGGTTTTGGCAGGATTTGTCACAGAAAAGAAGAAGTGTGAAAAAAAGTGTATGCTTAAACAGATTTATCATGTGAGAGCTAACTATTTCTTTCTTTCATCGTTAAACACATTCCTTTTCCTCTCCACTTTCACTGCCGTAACAAAAGCAACCAGTGAGCGCACACAGTTGTCAGAAACAAGCATCACATCTCTGTAATAAATATCTACAGTTGCTTCAACATCATTTCTCCTCAAATCAACGCCTGTGCTTGTCTACTCTGGCATCTGAAATTCTTAACATTTTGACTGGGCGCATCTTGGCTCCAAGCATCTTCACTCAGCTCAGAGAATGTCTTTGTGCCAAGGCCACAGCCTGTGGCAGTTTTCCTAGTGACAGATGAGCATGTCAACATGTTGTGTGTGTGTGTGTGTGTGTGTGTGTGTGTGTGTGTACTTGTGTGTGGTGAAACAATAGGCCTCATAAGCTGTGAACAGTGCTGTTACGGACAGAACTGGCACTTTAACCAGTCAGTAGCCGATACCAAAATGTATAGATCAGAAAATGTTGCATGGGTACATCTCAGCAGATACTTGTACTACACAACAAAAAAATGCAAATATGCACACTATCGCACAATGCATGTGTACTGACTTCTGGAACATTCTTCCACTGACTGGTACACAGAACTTGGCCTCACACAGATGGACTGATAATACCACTTGTTGTAATTACTTGCTGAATAACAGCTATCTAAACATCCGCAAAGTCTCTTTTTTCCAAAAGACATTCATGCGCCAAGTATGAAAGAAAAGAGGTTCTTATTTGTCCAATAAAGATCTCCTTAAACTATAATAGCATAAATAGCGTGCGTACAATAAGTGGTGAGCTGCAGCAAAAGAGAACTGCGACATGTGGATCTAAATCTGTCCGTCCTGTCTCCAGGCCTGTTGGCAAAGGGCAGCTCAGCTGTAGCAGGCAGATTGTGTGAACAGGGGACGACCAACATCTCTCCACAGGCCATACTAAGGTGTCTAATCCAGGAAACACTGTGAACATACACCCTGTGGGCTCCCACAGTGCATTGCAGAACCAACGCCCCAGAATACACTGCAACAAATCCTCCATCTTAACAAGACAGTTTTTCTGTTAATGAGCCATAACTGTTGATATACCGAAACAAAATTCTAGTATGCTAAGATTTCTTATGAGTTTCTTTCACATTTGAGTTTTTTTAAGACTTTTAAAATGTGTGATTGTGCAGTAAATAAAAAAGTCTGCCTAACTAAATAGCCTGAGGGTATCTTTTAAATATCTTTATCCATTAAGGTCCAATAAGAATCTAAAAAAAACCCCTCAGGATTAGTTTTCTCTGATCAATGATACGAATTAAGAGTTATGCTTAATAATTAGATGGCTCATAATAACAACCATGTAAAAAAATCTGATGTTTGTTAAGCACTGTTAAGCGTTTTTCTTTTAGAGAATTATTTTACATCTCTGATATTAATGTGGGAACTCATATTTAAAAAAAAAATCTACTGTGATAAATTTACAGATAATATATTTACACATTTCAGCACTTTACCTGAAGAAATATAGCCAGCTCGCCTGGGAGTGCGTCTGCTGTCCAGCACCTGTCATATCGGCTGAGTGTCACCCACGTCACAGGGTGTCGCGCAATGACAGCTCCCAATGTCTGCAAAGATGAAGCCTGGGGAGGGGGGGGGGGGGGGGAACAGGACAGATCGAAATTTCATACTCAGAAGTATATCAAAGTGACTCCTGTCAGCATTGCATCAAAGCGGAGAAACAGGAACTGTTCATTTCTACAGTAGACAGTAGGACTGGGTGGAGGAGGGTTTCTGGGGCAACAGGGTGGGAAGGTAAGGACTGTAAATTACGTTGGGTGACTTACAGGAGAAATGGTGACAATGAAAAGCACCTTGTCAAACGCGGCCATTTTGGATTTATGACAGCTGAGTCAAAAAAGTGACAGAGGCTGAAGTTGACTGTTTAGACAAACCCGAGTGATTTTTACGGGATCCACTTTTCTTATCTCATAAGCAACGATGCTGATGCTAACCTAACATGACACTGGAATTCCCCTGTTTGTAGTGTGCTTTAGAATACTTTAGACTTCGGTGGGTAAAATCTAACGCATCATTTGTCTTCTGTGTGTTTGTTTTGCTTCGTGTATCCACAATGGTAGAAAATCTGTATATCTGAAAATGTTGTTTAATGTCTTTATGAAAAATGGACACTACAGAATAAAAGGTTTGTATCAATAAAACAAGAGCTAGAAAATAGAGTGAGTTTTTTGCAGTGAAGAAAACAAGTACAGCAGGCCAAATGTGATCCAAACATAACATAAAACAACATGGACAGTTACCATGGGGCAAGCCTTTTTACTTAAGCAGTCAAGATAAACAAGTGTGTGTGTCTCTGTTCGCGCAGGCCGATAGTGCTACAAGACACACAGATATGACTTGTGCAGTGATGATAAATATTAGCAGGCTTGAGGCTATAGGAATCCAAGGCAACCAAAAATCTGTTTTTGTCCCAGGGCCAAACTCTGCACTGCACTGTGGGCCACTTCTGATTTCAGCACTAGCTGGTGTAACGCACCCAGCCATGCATTAGCATTGGCCCTGCAGTTAGAGCTGGCTCTTAGGATCCTGTCACCCGAACTTATCATACACTCTCACACACACACACACGCACTCACAGAAACGCATGCGGCCAGACACTCACACACAAACATTAGAAAAAGCCGCTCATTTGCTTCAGCAATAACGCAGACACTAATAGGTTTCATACCAGTCTCTTTCTATCTCTGTCTTTTTTTCTGTATTGAGGCACATCAATTAGAGTTGTTTTAATATTTTTTTTTCCATTTCCAACACACTGACAGTAATTTGTGAATCAGCTGATACGGCATACCAATCCAGTTCAAGCTTAAGACTTAGAAAATAACAGCTGTTTACTATTAACTCTGTATTGATTGCTTTCATTTTCACATGTATGACAGAACTTTCAATATTCCACGTTTGGCAGTCAGTTGAAATTGAAGAAGAATATGTAAATAAACATATCTAAGTACAAATAATGATTTGAAATGGAGAACATTTGTTTGACATATTTCTGTTCTTTGAGTCTGCTTAACAGAGTTAGTGAAACCGATTTTTAACTTATACAGTAGAGCTGCTTTATTCAATCTTTTTTTTTTTAAATTGTTTTTCAATTTGTAGCTCAGTTTGTTTCTAATAAAAAGGACCTCTGTCTTACATTCAGATCTGGATTAAAAACTGTTTTATGACCAATAGGGAATTGCTTACCTACAAATAAGCAGAACAACTTCTAACTAGTTAAGATAACATTAGCAGCAGCTTGGCTTGCAGCCTCTCATTAGTTCTTCTTTGCTGCTCCAAAACAGTAGTATACCCGGATTTAAAAAAACACTGTGTTAGAATGCTGGCCAGACTTAGGTATACTTCACAACACTCAATCTAAAATCTTTAGCAGCATCCCTACAATTCCAGCACTGGTATCACTATGAAAACTACGCTCACATAAATAACAGTATCTCACCCACACAAGGACAATAATTCCAACGTGTTTGGACCACAGAGACCTCTCCAGAATCTGCACAGGACCAACAAACAGCAGTTCTTCACACGGTCGGAAGAGACGTTCCTCTACACAAACATAAAAGCCTGAATCTCCCTGTTTAAGCAGCCGGCCCATCTCTCTCTCTCTCTGCACTTAGAGGGGGGCCTGAGCTAGCATACAAAGTTCAACAACTGTGAAGAAGGAACTATTAAAGAGGACACACAAAGCAGTGACCTTGACTGACAAGTGCTCTTCATTCTGGCCATAAACAGCAGTGGGGCCTGATAAGTGTTCATCGGTGCGGGGAGTAATGACCTATCCGTCAGCAGCGGTTGGGCTGTGTGAGGTAGTATAAATGGAACATACATAATGTACAGCAATAATACCAGCACGCTCACAGCCTAATGTATTATCATTATTCTTGGGGACCAGGGTTTTTTCCCCCTCCCCTAACCCCGCGTAGTGTGCCTCAGTACGGCGTGTAAATGCCTTCCGGCCACAATAATTTCATTCTAATCTTTGTTCCATATTATAATTTTCATGATCAGAAATACAGCGGGAAGCAACACCACGTTTCTATCAAGGACTAAACAGAACACAGGCCATAACCAGAGGTTTTATATGATTGTATAACCGCCGTTCTTGGAGCCCCAGTCAATTCATGATAAGAATGGAGAAAGCTGTAAATTTATGTGATGTCCATCTTAAACAACATTATTGCAGCCTGAACCAGCCTTTGGTAGGGAAGCTGTTTCCACACTAGACACTCTGAACTTGTTTTAAGAGGATATTAGAAAATGCAGGGTTCCACATTGACTTCAAAATAAAACAAAGTTTGTAAAAAAAAAAAAAAAAAAGACTCCTAGCATCTTTGTCAAAACCTTCATCCTAAGGCTGGAAAATGTAAAAGAAGAAAAAAAGGGTAATATCTGAACACAGACTTACACTATGTCTTGTTAGCTTATCGTGATTGATCTTTTAGATTTGCACAAGGTGGGGTGAGGTGTGGGGATTAACTTGAAGTCCCAAATGTAAAAAAAGGATGATTATAACTTAATAACTTTTTTCTAAATACATTGTATTTATCCGTGATACTTTCCTGTATTTATAAATATCACAATATATCTTATCACAAAAAGAAAAGATATATCGCATTATTGTTTTTTGAAAAATCATGCCTTCCCTAAAGTGTAGTACGATAGTTTGTGAAATTAGCTCAAATGGTTTCAGAAAGCTTCCCCATTACAAGATCATGTGACTACGACTGCCCAGGCGGACTTTTTCCCATTCAGAATCACGAACAGTGAACTATCTGGATGTGGAAGAGTTGTATTACTAAACCTGCAGAGGTGATATACATCAGACAGCAATCAGATGACTTCTCTAAATATTACACACTTTTACATCTTATTTTCTATGGATGATAACTGTAGAGACTAAAGTTGTTTTTTTGTCATGGACTGTAATCATGTTTATTTTATCGGTAACTTGTATGTTTTAATATGAAGCCTATAAATATTGACTTACTTTGAATCAGGCCTCAAGTGCCCACTTGAGGGACTGCAGTTTTGGGCGCTTCAGTGCCATCATCTTCTTCAGCCCTGTTTGTTTGCCCTGATGACACAAGTCAACTGGAAGTCAGCAAACAAACAGACAGACTTTTGTGTGGGTTGTTTATGAGCATAAAAAAGAGATGCCTACAAAGAAAAAAAAGATTTTTTAGTGAATAAATGTAACTGTATGTGCAGGGTGTCAGTGCACGCTGCATGGATCTGATTGTGATCAAGAACATAAAAGTGTTTGAGGAAGATTTCAGGGGTTAGAAAACAGATAAACGGTGGCCTGCAATGACTTAAGAAATGTAATTGATATTAAACAATGATGTTATGAGATTGACAAAGACATTGTTTCAAAGATGAATTAACAATGTGTCAAAACAACATCTGATTACTAGAGTAAACATAGGAGGAGATATATACTCCGTAGATCAGATCAACCTTTTTAAGAAGTCAAAGGTAAAAAAGGTAAAGTCTAAAATATTCAAAGTTCTTATAGGCAATACATTCCCAACCCTTGTTTTTTATTTCGTTTCTTGTATTTAAAATGAACAACAAACAATGACACAAACAAGGCAAAAGGTGTATTTCCAAAAACGATCAGATCCCAAAATACTAGCTAGTGAAGCTTCATTCTGTCTGGAGCCTATACTGATAGTGCCGACAGTCATCATGCAACACCGTTAATTAACAGGCGCTTCGAAGGCCTCCCACACACATACTGCATCAAAGTCACAGCCAATGTCCTGATCCAAAACTCCTCTCTGCTCTACAGAAACAAGGCTATGAGGATATGCAGTGCTACTACACAACCCATCATTCCTGCAACACTTGCTGCTTGTTGTAAGAGAGTATTCTTGGAAAATGAAATCAACTCCATTATAAATACATGAACAGTTGTGCTGCATTTCGAGAAAAAACAAAATCTCATTATTATTACAGTGAAACAGCTCCTGTGTAGTATTGTGTTTTTAAAAGAAAAAAAAAATCACATTTATTTAAGGGAACAAAGGCCTAATCTGAATGTTGAGAATATCGCGTGCTTGCGCATAGCGTCCGGCCCAGGTATCCCTACAGAGCAGAAGAAAAATGAAGGATGCCTCCAAAGCTTGCAGACAGTAATCTCCCCTGTGGAGGTCAAATCTAACATGGCAGGTTAGTGTCTGTGGAGATTGACAGCCTGGAGAAATACTGCTGCCAGGCGCCCACAACGCACAGTGACAGTAAACACCTCCCAGGAAAAAGGCTGGTTACCAAGCCTTATAGAGCGACTGTCAGAGGGCGCCAGTCGTCAGAGCTGCTGCCGACTCCGCACTGACAGACTCTGTCAACCTCTCTCTATCATATCCAAGCCGTCTCAATAATATGAACATCAAACTCTCCCAGGAAGTATACAGATCCAACATGTATACATTCTACATCAAAAACATTTGCAGGCTATCATTGTTCTTTTCTGATGAATGATTCACTTTGAGCTCAACTAAGTTTTTTCATATTTCATCATGAAACTGTAACTTTTTTTGTGACTATATATGGTCATTTTAAATAGATTACATTTTTTTAGACGCCATAACAACTCAAACTGAACGAAAAATGCATAATTGTATTAATTGATTGTCCGCTTCTTCATTATGCAACTTACCGTATTAATCAAACGTGCAAAAAAATTAAATATTTTCTGTATTTAAAAAAAAAAAATGAATCGCTCTGGAATTTAAACTATTGGTCTCATATTTGAACATAAATCCATCCTTCCTTCCAGACTCAAAACACTTTTTTTTTGCAAACATTCTGTAAATCAAGTCGCTCAAATGAGAAATCAGGAGAGCCAATATTTCTACTTGCCGCCATTAAGGGAAACACTGAATACTAAATAATGACAATATACTTTAAATTATACCTTAACATGATTCAACAATATTTATTACATCAATTCTGTATAGTGTTTCACTGATTAAAATGGAATATCATCCAAAGTCAAGCAGAACAAGAGGAGAAAAAATGAAGTCTTGAAGTACCACATTAAGAAATGCATATAAATAAAAACTACACTAACACTTTAATGTTCTTGTTACTAGGCTTGCACAAGAATAGTAAAGCAATACAGCAGACAACTAATTGCATGAAATATGTTATCTTACAGGCTTGTGCTGTCTGCCTTTCATAAACAAAGGCTGACAGATCATGCCCTCAACCAGTGACCCTGCTGTGAGCATATGCACTAATGCAAGGTCACACTGGAGACTGGCCACATGAGGAGAAAACAGACACACAATTTGCCTTGTGAGCCCGACTCAGACACACACTACTGATGTAGTCATCATGCCCTACAATAAAATGTCAGTGTGTTAAACAGGGTCCTTTTTTCATTAGCAGCTCTAATAAATGGCGCTTCTGTAAAATAGAGGGAACCTTTTATGTCCGTGTGAGGAGAAAATGATAAAAGAGATATCACTGCCAGAAAATCTGTTGTACGCTCAATGTCAAGGGGGCTTCGCCAGCTCCCATAGTGCTCAGCTGTGTGCTAAAGCATAACAGACCCTGATTTTCATAATGGCAGGTGGCCATCTTTGGAGGCCTACATTAAATAGGTCTACGTACAATATCTGTCATAGAACAGTGGCCAGGTCCATTTAACAAGATTGTAAAAACACATTATGCTACCTTATATTCTGCACGCTAACTAAATCTGGTTCAACTGTAAATGAAGAGGGCAAAACAGTCATATCGAGGGCTGTGATTGGTTTGATTATTACCATTGACAGAGGGTGAGTGTTGATAACAAATTGTTTTTTATTGGTATTACCGTTTAATTATTCAGTCAGCCACTGCACAATAACTGTTGACTCCTTAAGCAACTGCAATATTAGTATTTATTTATTAAGTATTTATTTAGTCACTGCACCTTAACCATTTCCTTTATATTCACTGCACAATAACTGTCTAAGTTATTTCTCTACTCATTCAATGTAGCACAACTTTTTCCATATGTAAATAGCTATGAATGCATTCTTTATTTTGTCCAGAATTTTTAACGCTGGGAATGCTGCAAACAAATTCCGTGGAGTTATTTTATACAATGACAATCAACAAAAGTGCCTGTCTGTCCATTAGTATGATGTAGGTTGTGAGGCGGGCTGCGGGTAAAGGCGGCAGAAAAGACTGGCAGACAGACAGAGGAGCAGACCTCTATACTCTGACGCTTTTCCCCCTCATCCCCTGCTTGCCCTTTGTCATGCACCCTCCTCACCTCCAGAGCTGTCACTGGCTTGTCAGAACCAATCACATGATGCCATGCTGTCTGCCAGCCATGTACCAGTTTGGACAGGATGACATCAAATTTCTGGTGCTATGTGTCAAGGACCATATGAAAACAGATGTCCTCATTACTGGGTTGCATTTGCGTTTGAAATACTACATGCCCCCCTATTCCTGGGTTAGAGGATTAAGAAATATTAAAAGATTTTTTTATTTTTTTTTTGAATATTGTTTTTGATGTTATCTCCGTAATGTGAAAATGTCTCAAAATAATTAGTGGTATAAGGAAATCAAACCCTGTCTTGCATAAAACACTTATTTTTTTTATAATGCTTCAAATTTGCAAAAATTTAACTATCTAATAACCTAGGAAAAAATAAATCTCCAAGCCATCACAGTGTGATAAAACAGTGACATGTCCAAGCCTGGTGTTATGCATATATGAGGCCCTCTGAGATCTAGCATGACAAAAGTAACTTTATTGAATGGGACAGATCGCTGCTTGTCTGACTGACTTAATCTGTTTGATTGAGCAACGGGACGCCTTCGGCTTCACAAGTCCTTCAAAGGCCGCAGATTCTGCAAGTGTGAAAAAAAGAGGGAGGAAAAAGGAAAAAAAAAGGAAAAATCCCCACCCCCCCCCACCCCTTCTACTGAAACACACACACAGACACCATAGGAGCTTCTGGAGGGTTTATTTATTAGCTTTAAACATCTTATCCATTGCCTTACCACCCAAGCCTTTTCAGGTCATCACCCTCTAACAAAGACCGCAAGCCTGGAAAATCTGTCAACTGTCAGTGTCATTGATCAGGAGCAGAACTCTGGGCAGTTGATGAGGCTTCATTGAATCTAAGCGTTGAAGAGAAATAAAGAACAGAGTTTGTCCGACAATAACACTGCTTCTGCAAATTTCCTCCTGCCTCCAAAGCATGCCAAATTACAGAGTCATACATTCATTTGCTCATGCTTCACGATCTCATTATGGGGATCTAACTTTCCACTCCTCCCCTTTTTCTTTCACCGTGTCGTCCCAACACAAAGCGGAGCCCAGCTATCATTGTGCTTGATCCGAATTTTATTTAGAGCTCCATATGCTTCTCCAGCCTCCTCTCAGAGCCTGGTGTTGCTGCTTGGCCTCTCTTGGCCCGTTAACCATTAAAAAGAGGGGCCACTCTGTCACCACACTGTCTATTGTGGGCCGTCGAGGTTAAGAGACAAAAGTGTGAGATCATGAATGAGTGTTTGGCAGTCTATTGGAGGTTTCCATCCACACAATAGAAGTGAGAATCTGCACCTGATGCAATTCAAGCATCCATTTTGAAGGGGAACGGGGTTGCTTTGTTTCTGCTGGAGTGGTTCCATTTAAAAAGAAGTACGTTCTCATTTTCAAACAAATTGGGATATATATATTTTTGACATCTCTGTAAAGTATCCATCCTGGTGGTGCCACGGGCATGTGGCATTTGCATAATATGGATGAAACTAGACTAGACTGTCTCATAGTAAATGCAGCTAGTAGCCTAACCAAAGCTCCTGGCTGCTATAAGCACCAGACACACAGGTTATCTACACATGAGACCACAGAGGAGCTGGATGAGGCCCCACAGATACTCCACACCTCACAGCACGGAGCAGACTGCAGTATTCACCCTCCAACCGTCTCTGGGGGGCCTCCTCTGAACACACATTTCCCCTACACTTTCTCCCCTCGAAGTAGCCAAAGCTGTGTCTCTCAGTCTCAAGGTCCCCCCTTAGTGACAATTTGTCCACATCAGAGAGCCGTCATCCCTAACCAGA